TTAGTTAAAAGCGTCCTTAAAGGACATCATATACAATGTTTATTTCTATTTACTAAATCTTCTGTTATTAACAGCGAAAAAATCATGTTAATTCGTGTAATTCAGTTTAACTAATATTGACAATAATTATCACTTTCAATAATTTTTGTTATTTTAATAAATTTCATTTATTTATTTTTTATTCTCCGATTGGAAAACGCTAGATTTATCCATGCGCCATTTTATGTCTCTTAAATTCTAGCAATAAAAAGTGCAACGGAACATCAATCATTGTCCGCTGTTGTTGCTATTTTATTAGTTGTTATTTTTTTTATGTGCTTCTTTGACAAATCAAAACTCTTACTGTTTTGTTGTACTTTTATTAGATTACAATAATATTCATTCTATTGTTGTTTTTTTAGTTATTCCGTCTTTCATACATCCACTCATATTTAACGTATTTTCTTCTTATCATTTCTCGCTTCTTATTTTTTGTTTTTGTTTTTGTATATGTTCTTAAGCTTAACGAAGTGTCATATGTTTTCTTGCTCGTCTTGCAGGGTACAGCGGCACACTTATTCGGCTAGCAGCCGAATTTGAGTAAGACGAAAATTGATGGACATGTTTTCTTTTGCGATGCTGCAGCGCTGCTATTGATGTTGATGAGTTCGCTGCTTTATCGTAGTTTGTTTTTGTTGTTGCTGTCATTGCTGTGTGTTTAATGACATTTGACAATGTTGATGAAGTTGTTTGACATGATTAGTGTTTTTTTTGTATAAATTTTTTTCTAACTATTTAACTAAGTATGTTCTTGCATATTTCTTTTTCTTAATAGCTTTGTGTATTTCTTCGTGCTTCATCATTTGTGTGTCTGCGAGTGAAAAATTTTAACATGCGAATGTGGTTGCTGATGATGGCTGTGTGTATAAGTTATTTTATTTGATAATTGGTGTTGTAGCAATGCGTGTAACTCATTTATTTCACACTCAACATGTTCATGCATATGGCTAAATTCTTAGTCCTTTTCTTGCTTTTTGCTTGCTTGTTTCATATTATTTATTTGTTACACTTTTTTCACATTGTTGTACATATAAGATACATACGTACACTTGTACGCAATTTTTTATGTTATTGTCGAGCGAACGACATTTGACGGTTGATAGCACATATTGAGCATATAAAAAACATATTGCATTAAAGTAAATATTTGAATAAAATTTTATAGTATTTTTATTGTTAGCAGTAATACGCAAATAAATATATCGGCGCCCTTTTTAAAACAAAATCAATTGTTGTTGTTCTTGTGCTCGATGTACGCTTTTTAGCCTATAAATTTACATTGTGCACAATTTTATTTTCTTTTCGTTGAGTTATTGCTGTTTATTTTTCTACGCCAAACAAAATTCTGCTTCATTAGCTTAAGTAGGTCTCATATTCTACTATCAAATTTTAAATTTCATACATTTGGAATGTTTCTATTTCTCTTTCCTTGCCCTTTCGTGTGTCGTGTGTGCTATTAACATCATAATGCCTTCGGCATAGCGCTATATCCCAAGCCACTGTTGCGTATCGTCAACTCTGAGTTCGTGGGTGTTTCGGTTGCAGCTGTTACTGCCGCCGCGGGGTAAACTACACGCATCAGCGCTGTCGTTGGTGTTGGCGTGCCGGCTGATGATGTTGACGAAGAAGACTCCTGCCGAATGCGATTGTTGGCTTCCGTTGTTGAGCGCGGTATGGTGAACTTTTTTCGAGCGCGCCAACGAAACTTTTCCGTTAGACTGTCGAGCGTTTTACCACTTTTATGGGGTTGCGCTCTGGCTTTGACAGTCTTTCGGAAATCACGGACCTGTGCTGGTTGCTTGCGGTTGCTTGATGTTCTAGCCAGCGGTAGAGGCGCGTTGCTCATACCGGGCAAATGTGCACGCATCAACTCTACGCGCGGACTAGTTTGAGTAAGATAAGCGTCTTGATCGCGCCGGCTTATGATACGAGAAAGTTTGAGACGCGAACGGGAAGGTTGTGTTTGAGCGCTTAACTCAGCTATTGTGTTCATTGGTTGCACTGGTTGCGTGGCAACTAGAGTTGCTGCCATTATATGTGGTGCAACTGGCGCAACAGGTCGATTGTACATTTCAGTCTCTTCTAAGCAGTGTGGTTCTAACTCAATGTTACTCTCCTCCCAATTTTGAGAGTTAATCGACATTCGATCTTCTACAGGTCGTGAATGCAAACTGCGGCCAGTCATGTTGACACTTGAACGCTTAAGTTCTCTTAATCGATACGAGTTACTGGGATGTGCATGATTGTGGTAGTGACTGCCAACCTCTGATTCAAGTAGTGAATTCGCGTCACCCACCGATGAGAGTTGCGAGATTTGTGTTTGCAATATGCGATGCTGTAATGAGTCATTGCCGACGCTGCTACGGTGATTGCCGTTGCTATTGTAGACGTCATTCTTGCCAAGTGATGTCAGCAGTGTTGATTGTGATCCAATTGATATGCAGCGATTACGATGCGATGATCTGCAGCTATTGTTTCCACCCATAGCGTTGCCGCTACCGCTGTTAGCACTGTTGATCGTTGTGGTTGTTGTTGTTGTACGGATGCTGTCCTGCAGAGAAAGATGATGATTCGGGTCACGACATTGCAATTGCACTACTCGGTAAGAATTAAAATGCTCTAAGGCATTATTATTCACCGTTGTGTGCAGCCGCATGGAACCGTTCTGGCGCAACAGAGCGCTGTAGTTGTGATTCTGCGTTTGGTACCTGTTCGCAAGTCCAAAGTGACGAGCCAATGTCACCTAAAACAGAGAAGAGAACAACAGAAACAACAACAAACAAACATAGGAAGTGGTATAAAAAATATGTCAGAAATTAGGCAAAGTAAAATGTTAGGGTTTGAGGATGTGTGAAGGTGAAGAAGGTGACAACAGTTAGCATAGTTAGTTGAGAGGAAATATATTATAAGATTCAAATGCGTTGACATCTTACCTTGAAGGCCTCACGAAATTTGTGACTCATAATATTGTAGAGCAGCGGATTTATACACGTTGAGAGGAAGTACAGCACGCCCGATGTATAATCCAGTATGTGAAATATATCATTAAATATTTTGGACTCAATGCCAGCAGTTGAACCATAAACAGCCATAAGACGCTGGGCATGGAATGGAGCCCAGCAAAGAAAGAACGTAACAGCAACAGCAACTGCAAAAAAAAGACACAAGAAAAAATTGAATAGGGAAATAAAGTCACATTGGACATAATTTATGAAAAAACAAATAAAATACAAGTGAGGGTTTATTTCAAACATTCCAGTTGATATTAATAATATTTAAATACTATCATCCCAGAAATCTTAAAGTTTTTCCAAAGTAAATTATATTCGTTTAAAGCGACGTCAAATTAAAACGACTTTATAGGCCGACTCAAGGATAACTCCTCCTGTATTTTTATTTGACCAGAAATATAAGAAAACGAAAGAAAAACAAATGTAAAATTTGAAATGAAATTTAAATCAATTTGTAGAGAAACTCTTTATTGTTGACAGAATCATTTTAGTAGCGCCCAATTTAACTACGAACACACTTAGGTTCTGGTTTTTCGTTTTTGTTTTTGTTTTCAAATAGAGTGAAACACACAGATTGTCTGGGTTTGTGGGTCTTTGTTAGTTGTGGGTCTGATTGTTTGCCTAACATAGTTTGAGCATTACTTAAACGCGATTAAACTTAAGTTCTGCTGCTGCCGTTTTGATAAGCAGTAAAATGCCTGAAAGTGTTGGATTTAATGTGCACTTGAAATTTATCAGCCGTTTTTGTTCTGAGCTTTTCCAAATGGCAGACAAAAGTGATTTGGACACATTTAAATTGTTCCAGTAACACATTCTCGTTTCGTGAATTTCTAAGTTAAGTTCTCAGCTTAATAATAAGTGCAAAACGGTTGAAAGCAAGTGAAAGTGATCCCTTGAAATTATCAAAAACTTTCGACGCTTTTGGTACATTTATATATCTTTTTAGTTTTTCAACATATTCAATTAGTTCACAGTGCGTATAAGTGACAACAATTCCGAACTAATTGAAGTGTATAGTAGTGGCATATTGTAAAATGTAGAAATAAATCGGTATTATTTATTATTTTTCTAAAATTTTGTAGTTAGAAATATGCATCAATGATTTAAATGTTTTCGATTAAGTAGAGAAGTGGCACAGTGGCTTATAAGTGATGGGAAACGTTGTATTGAAGTATTAAAAAAATGGTATGCTTCCTCTTATGTTATCAGAACTAACTGTAATCAGTGTTATCTCTTTCCAAAATTATTTAAACGTTATAGTGTCTAACGTAGGCAAAAATATTAATTAGTAAATAAAATATATGCAAAGATATGTAATATAGATTTTCTTTTTTATTATTTTTAGTTTTTTTAGTTTTTTTATTATTAAAACTTATTAATTCGCTCAAGTTTGTATAAACTTATCAAGAATAAATAATAATTAAATCTTATTCAAAATATAGCTTGTTCAAAGTACATATCGTATTTGAAATTCAGATATACAACAAAACTTTGTTTCCGTTACTTACCAAGCATGCGAATGACTCGACTCTGTGCGCTAATACCGCGATTTACATCATAGCAACGTCTTGGCACCGCTTGAAGCAAACGACTACGCTTCAGCTTCATACCAATGAGCACATACAAAACACAAATCGCAGTCATGGGTCCACCGAAGAAGATGAATCCAGAGACGGCAAACACATGTGCGAAGAAATCATTTTTCATCTGCAAAGAAAACGGAAAACGGAAAACAAATAAGAAAATTGACAAAAAGTCAAAACGAAACGTCAAGTCATGATTCCAATGTACACCAATTGGATGATTAGAAACAGCACATGACAATAATTTTCCATAAATGACTTGTCTTATTTTAAACTAAATTCATTTCTTATGTCAGTAGAGCAGAAATTTTGTTAAATAATAATTATGATAAATTATGAAAACAGAATTATTTTAATCGGATAAAGAATATGTGTCAATTAATACAGCCAAGTTTCAACTCACCGTGCATGAAGTGCCACCATCCTGTGCCACAACGGAAAACTGCATCGCCTGTGGAAGAGCGAGTAGGAGCGCTGTCACCCAAATGGCAAAAATGAATTTTATTGCTCTCGATAATTTCGACATGGTGTGTTGTCTGTAAAAATATGATACAGAATAAATACAAAACATTTTCTTGAACATTTTTTTCAAGGAATCTACTTAGTGTAAATTATTTTGCATGATTTTGAATTTTTTTTTTTTAAACTGAATTATGAGCGCTTAAAACTTTTTATTTTGCTTCAAGAATATAAAAACAGCCAAGTTTTATGAAAGTGCAATATTTTGTTCGACTTACCGAAACGGATGACATATGGCGATGTAACGCTCCACTGTAAATGCCGTTATCGTCAGCACTGTGGCATTGGCTGCTGTCTCCGATAGCACACTTTCCATAACACAAAGGACATCAGTGAAAGGATAAGAATACGGAAACCATAAGTTATATAAATCCTGTGGCATACCTACAAAATATCAGACATGTAAAAGGATCTGTAGTAAGTTTGGCATTCACTGTACGTGCAGCGTTTTTTAAACTAATATTTTGAAGATATTGAACTATTTTTTGTATATTTAAGGCATAAATCATTCCCCAGTGAGCGATTTTGCTGTATTTTTCGTTATGACTGAGTAGAACAGTGATTTGGTTTGCTGAAAAATCGTTGAGGTGCGGAAATAGTAAATATATTTGTGAGCAAAATACTGTTAAAAAACAGAGTTAAAGGCGCAGATACGAGTGATTCAAATACATCTAAAGTGAGTAAATAAATAACATATGCTTAGAATAGAAAAAGAATTGCAATATCTAGAAGTCGACCTAAACATGACTTGACGAATAAAATTTTATTGGGAAATGAAATTTATACAGTTTCTTATTAATTTCTTCTTGTTATCGAAAGAGATAATCATAGTTTAAGAGAACTAGTAAAGATATATATATATTAGTTACGAATTACGGAAACTAATATATATATCTTCACTAGTGCTTTTAAACTAAGATTATCTCTTTCGATGTCTTTCAATCAATATTATTTTTTCAATTTTTTATTTTTCAACATTATTTGATGATTATCGTATAACAGTTTCTATAAGCGGTTTTGTGAAATTCTCCAAATATTTTTTGGTTTCTTTAATAATTTCTTCTACTGGCGCTATTTGTTCTTTTTTGGTTTCTTACTTTTCTATACCTCAAATGTTGTATATTTTAATACATATATTTGAACTATATGAAGAGTGTATGCGAATTAGACGGTTTGAAACAAGTTTGAAAGATGCCGTTGTAGTTGTGTAATTCGTAGCTCCTTTAAAAATTAAATGAAACATCAGAAGAAATATGCTATATTATGCCTCATTATTATAAAAAAGGTGAAACTGCAATGAAAATATGCCGAACAAATTGCATGGTTTATGGTAAGGACGCTGTAAGTAAATCCCGAACAAAGAAGCAATTTGCTCGACTTTGTTTCAGAAACTATGAGGACAAAAATGTACCTCGTTCTGTCAGATCAATCACTAAAAAAGCCGAGGATATTTTACAAATGGTGGTGCAAGACAGACACGCAAGCTATCAGGAGATAGTTGAAGCACTGAACATTAACCACATGACAGTTTGGAATTATTGCAAAAGAGCAGACTACGCAAATACATATATTCGATGATTAGGCACCACATAGGTTTAGCGCAAAGAAATTTGATTAACCAATTGAATTATATATTAAATATATATCATATAATACAATAATGTTGAACGCAACCGTTTGTGGCCAAAATCGGGTGATATTTCGCAATCGATTTTTAACCCTGTATTAATGGTAAATAAGATTAACATATATTATATTGAGTGTTTGGTGGGATTGGAAGCAAATTCCCTTTTACAAGTTGATCCAGAGGTGCAGCGGGTAAATCGGTTCTCTAATCATCATAGCCCAAATGACGAAACAGTGTCGGAGCCAAGGAAAAAGACGTGTTCCACCATGACAAAGTCAGGGCTTATACATCTCTGATGATTTGAAACAATTTGGCTTAACTTGGGAAGTTTTGACGCATCTACTGTATTGCCTGAATCTCGCACCACCTGACTATCACTTATTTCGATCTTCTTAGAATTATTTTAATGACAAAAAATCATACTAAAGATCTGCTGAAAATCACAGAAGTTCTCAACTATTGAAATTATGAAGCTACCTAAAAAATTGCATGAGATCACAAATTTCAAAAAGGTGAATTTAAGTGTTTTCTATGAGAGTTAGCTTTCAATATTTGGTATCTTATTAGTATTATAAGCATTCAAAGAATAAATTTAAATTTGTATATTTGATAGAATAATTTACAATACTTTTAGCACTGTAACGATTAATCACAGTTTAAACTTTTTTACATTTTCAGAATAACTTTTCAGGATTTGGAAGTTAAGGTAAAGATTTGCATTTAAACTTCTGGCGCGTGGTTGGCCACCGTTTACCATATTGTTTGCAATTGAATGCAATCTTGAGCATGGTAACTGCTTCACAGAGTTGAATACAAGAAAATATCTTTCCCTTTTTCATTGTGGGCACACAATCAAACGGAATTTCATTTACAACACGAATTCCAATTTAGATTTGAGAAAGGAATTTACAGAAGAACGTTTACAGAATGAAGCAAAATCTGTTAAAAACATTTTTGTTGTAGAAGTAAGAAATCCTTTATCCATCATGTTAAGAATATTTTATAAATTTTTAATAAATAAAAAACACGTTAAAGTAGCAAAAGTTGTTTCAACAGTTTAAATTCTTAAAGGTTTTAAGCAATTTGCTCTATTGTATTTATTTCTTAACTAAAATTTCAGACAATTTAGTTAATAAAAAGTAATTTGTTAGTTTAAAAACCTAAAAAACATATTTTTTTCGCTCTTCCGAATTTTCATATTTAAATAATAAAAATCGTAAAATAATACGAGCGTAAATATTGTATGTGATTTGATATGATTTTTCTAATAGTGAAGCGCTCATAACAAAATCTGCAAATATCTACAAAAATCTATAGAAGAAATAGTTAAAATTATTCTACATAATTTCATAAAAAATAATTGCACACTTTGCAAAAATGTGGCTGAGCAATAAAATAAATTAGTGTTGCTCATACGCCGTGGTGAACAAAATGTTTCGAGCCAAGCGAGCATATGAGTGTATGTGTGTATGCGTGTGTATATGTGTGTGTGTGTGTTCGCTGGAAGGTATTCATTTATGCATGAATTCATACGTTGGGCTATAAAAAATGAATTATTTTTATAAAAGCGGTAAGGGTTTGCATAATGTTTACTGATTACAGACGAATGTAAAGGATTCTGTGTAATGCTTTGTGTAATTTTTGCATATATTTAATGTAATTTTGTGTAATTTTGTAGTGCATAAAATGAAATAGTGAAAAAAGTGAAAAAAAATGAAAAATAAACGAAGTGAATTCAATGGCTGATAAATACCAATAAAAAGTGAAAATGATCTCATAAGAAAAGCGCTTATGTTGGTGGGGTTACATTTGCTCAGATTAACGACCGCAAATATACGTTTTAAGTGTCTGCATTAGTAGTGTAATGAAGTTAATCTAGATATAGTTAAAGTAAAAAATAAATCATTTTTAAGTCTTATGAACCGCAGTAACTAAAGTTAACAACATTGCAATTATTTTGTGCCTTTATGTGGGTTATTTCATTAATACCCTTTAACTTAAGCTCTTCACAATCATATATGACACCCAATCATATACATACTTACATTGACATTTCTCATATAAATTCCCTCAACAATTTATAACCGATGTGTCAATCTATTGAGCATAAACTCACCTGACAACAGCAAAATCATATCGGACACAGCCAAATTGAAAAGATAAAAATTGGTCGCCGTGTGCATGAAGCGATTTCGTGAGATGACAATGCATGTTATTAAGTTTCCGAGCACACCTGCCACAAAGATAAACGCATAGAAAATTGTCAGAGTCATCAGCAGCGGTAGTGGATCACGTTGTGGCTGTGGATGTTGTGCGGTGGTCAGCAAATTTGTAAGATTATCTGTCGACATATTCAGCATTTGACTGATGTTCTGATGGAATCTTTTATTTTGTCGCAAAAATTGTTGCAAATTTTCGATGTCTAGCGCTGTTATTGAGGCATTGACACCGACCACCTCGGAGGAGAATAAAAATGGCGAATATGATTGATTAGCGCCATCAAGTAATAAAATTTCTGCTGCCGCCCCCGCTCCTAGCGGCGACTGACCATCTGCAGTTATTGTGCTCATTTCGCGGTAAATTTTTGTCTTTAATTTATTTCGTTGACGTTTAATCAATTTCTGGATGATGGAGTCATGGAAGACATCTTGCTTCTCTGCGTATGGCTGGATTAGACAGATTTGGTTGGTTGATTTTTATTGCTCTCGTGGAAAATTTTTATATGCAGTCAAACTAAAGTAAGAAAAATTTCCATTGATGCAAGGAGTTAGCAGTGTCACATGGAATTCTGAAAATTAAAAATAAAATTTTAGATACAATGAAATATATTAAAAAGATACAAACCTAAAAAGGTATTTGAAAGTTTAATATAATCGCATCAATTTAAATAGCTCAAATAGAATTTTTTTTAGTTCAATATAGACAGAAAACATTGTTTAATTAAAATAATGTTATATTCTCGATAACAACCCGAAATTTTCAATAACTTTATATCCTGCATTTATTTCTATTTAATGAAATTTGCTAAATTCGTTTTCTTACCATCTGAAAACACACTTTTTTCAAAAATTTAGTTAGTTCACATGTCACTTTCTCAGAATCCTTATGACTTTGTGCAATTTATTATATGAAAATGCAATCAAATGCATTTCAAGTGCTTGGTTATTAAAAAACGAAATCATATAAAGATCCATAGTAATTCCTTTCAATAATTTATATTAAAAGTAAAATAAGTTTAAAATGGAAATTAAATTGAAATTTGCTGAATATTTACAATTCAAATCTTATGAGGCAGCAGTTAATGTGTAATATAGGCTCTATGCTTTATGCAATAGTATTAATTAAAAATTTAATATTAACAGAAAGAAATTAATTTAATTTATTTTATAAAGTATAGATATCTAATTTCTTTATTTCTTATTGAATTCATTATTTAACGGCAATTGTTTTTATTGTTCTTCATATATTAATTTTGATATCCTAAGAAGACTACAGTGAAATCAACATTTAGCCGGCACAGAGGAGCCGCAGTTGGAGATAATAAAAATAAATAACGAGAAGTTTGCATTAGGCCATGAATCATAAACAACTGAGTTATCTGCTTAGTTAACATCAAAATCATTTTAAAGTTCCGCATTTAAGAAGTCGTAAATCGATAATGATTGACACAATTAAAGATATCGTCAAAGTGATTTCTTGTGATATTCCCGATCAACTCTCAAATGATTGCTGACTTTAAGGTTGGAAATAAATTATTGTAATAAAAACTAATATATAGCATGCAATCCATTGCCCTCAGTAACATAGGTTGCCTTCTTTGGACAAATCTGAAGCACATTCATGATACTTCTTTGGAAGTGCTGCATTGTCTCAACACTCAACATCAAATAACATCTGTTAAAGCATTGCTTGTTGAAATTTTTTAAGATGTATCTGTTAATCTACTTAATTTAGCATTTATGATTTTCAACATTGACTGCACACTTTAAGTTTAAAATATTAAAGAAACATTAAATTTTTAAACTTGATCTTTACTTTATGTATATTCTGAAGATCATAAAGATTTATGATGGCAGTGAAGTTTAATTATATAGAGTTTACACGTATAAATAAATTTAATGGACCGCATAATGTTGTCAACACATTTCATTATCATAAGAGTACATTTCAGTTCTTATAAATCACATTAATTTTATAATAATTGATTTTATTTGATTTGTAGAGAGTCGAAGGGTGAAGTAGCTGAATGGTAGAAGGAAATTTTGTTTTCTCAAGTTAAAGAGCAACGTTTATTATATTGTTGACATAGTAGTCCTTCTTAAATCAATCACTTAATTGGCAAATACACATACCTATATAATGAACTCCACCAAATACTTATTTTGGTAACATGTAAACACAGTTGGTGTTAACATATTTTGTTACTTTTGATGATCGTGTGATTTTTAGTGGATACAGTATTTATGTTACTGTCATTCTAAGTTTTCTTTGGCATATCAAATATTCGCTAATTCAGTTTTCAACTACTTCATCATATATGAAATATTAATTAGAATAGAATATTCAATGCAATGTTCTAATATATTATATGAACAATGGCTTATAACAAAAATCATTAGCAATGTACGTCCTTCGGCTTTTAGTGATTAGTGATTTTCAAAAATATTTATTTGGTTAATAAACACAGTAGTTCGTCTCCAGAACCATGTTTTATTTATGTTTATTGTTCTTGTAATTAAAATAATTAAAAATATTTCCTATCTGCTCTCAAATAATAAATAAGCACGTTCACAATTATCATTTTTAATACTTTTATTTGCAGCTATACAATTTCAATAAAGTGAGATTGCGGAGTATTGCACTTAGACAATGCACTTAAAATCTCTTCACTACAATTTCTGCATAAGTTTCTGCATCAAGTTTTAGTGAAGTGCTTAGATTATAAGTTTTAAGAATATTTTTATAATATTTTTAAGAATATTTTTTTATGATAAACTAACGAAGTGAGTTTCATCCAAAAACATCTCAACATTAAAATACAAAACCATCTTAGTGGTACTAATATAAAGTCACTCGCAAAGAGAAATAATATTCATTTAAAATCGGTTAGAACGGGAACTTTAAATATTGTAAATGAAAAATTATCTTTACAAAATTGATTTTTAAACAGGAAACTAAAGTTCATAAATAAAATGAATTTTTTTTGCAATTTGAAATTTTAATTTTTGCATATTTACATCAATAGCGTATATATACATACCATATAAATTACCACATATTTTTCCTGAACTTTAAATATTTTATTTTCATCTAAGCATTCAAATTTATGAACAAAAGGGAAATCTCCTGCACAAGCACAGCTCCTGAGATTTCTATTCTATTGTTATTTTCCCTTAAGCCACGCCTATTCATTTACACTTCTGCAAACGTTTTATGTAGGTCAGGCGCTCTGTGAACTGTCAATTGCAAAAGCGAAAGGATTAGGCCTAAATGTATTGTATTTGCCTTGCTTGTATTCTACATTTTTATACATTTATCCTTTCTTAGTCTGTTGCTGTCTTCGCGAACTTTCACTTAAGCAAATGTATTTCTTTTGTGTTAAATATACTGTTCCTTGCTCCGTAGAAGTCACCCATCTGTCGGCAGACATTCAATCAGTTCCTTAACATTTGCAGTCCTGGGTTGTTAAGTCAATTAATCTTGTTAGTAGAACGTTTTATTTATGGGATTTTCCAGCAGATTTATGCATGTAGCCTCTCCTCTGGTGACTTTTCTATGTATTTTTGCTAAATTGCAAAACTCTTAATATTAATGTTCTTATAAATATTAAATTCACTTTTAGTAAAAATTTTCTTAAAAAATTTAAGTGTATTCTGCCATTTTCAATTTATATCCTTAATCACCTATCTTTTCTGGAGCAGCTTATGACATGCCCTTCAATTTGTCTATTAAAGTCCTTATGAGCCTAAAATATTATAGAAAAAGAAATGTTGTAAATGTCATATGTCTGTAATTACATTTTATTTTTAACATTCTGATATTTTCTGATGTGTGGTCAGATGGGCGACGCCACCCACCTGTTCGAATACAAATGCCAATTTTTAGGTTTTTTTTTTTGTCCCTTTAATTATTAAGTATTGTCAACGGTCCTGTATATTTCAATTCAACAGCAAAGCAACGTTTTAGCTTTTCATCGATGCGAATTCGGTTTCATATTCCTAACACCAAATGTAATTTTCTACACTTTAATGAAGGTTTAAAGCCAGAAGTATGCCATAAAGTATTTGTGGGATTTTTCCATTACTGTTGCCGCTTTGCACAGTTAGAATAGCTATTTTGTTCCAAAGAGAGCGTATATAGCGTGCAGGTTCAAAATAAGAAAAGTCGGAAGTTTTTCTATTTATTTCACATTATTTTTATTTACTTCGTCGCTAAATGTTAACATTTTTTTTTCTATCATACTTGCCCTTTTAGAAACAATGTTATCTTAATATTATCCTTATTAAAGAGGTTTTCCTACTGGCCGCTACGTAATTTTTTGCTTTACTTGCTGACATTTTGCTGCGGTTACCGTTTGATCGTGAAGGACGGGACTAACGCTTCCATTCTAAGTCTGTTATTCTGCTATTTAAGGCTTACTTGTGTTGTTGTGCTTTACTGTCACGTCGTTTGAAATTTATGGTGTGAATATTTATGTGTACCGGCCTCAGTCAAAAGGTTTTCTAACACAGCGGAAAATATTTAACTAAATTATTAAACATTTAAAAACTTTAACAATGAATTTTTTCCTCATTCTCGTACTGCTGACTCATGAATTGTGGGAGCTAGCAGAGTGGAGAGAGTGGGTTATAAATTCTATTACCAACAAATTTGCTAACATTGTGCTCTGTTAACTTAAGCAAACAAAAAACCTAAATCTGGCCTTGTATTTATTCTCCATTTTACAAAAACATGTCGGCTTCCGGTTCGCTTAGCGAATATTACTGAACGTATTTTATCCTTTTTTATTGGGAGTGAAATTCAATCTTTAAGCAAAAAAGTTTAGCTTTAATTCTATTTGTTCATTGCAAAAAGTTCGTGAATTTATATTTGTTGTGAAACTTAAAAACTTTTTCACTAAAAGCATTTAAAGTCCGCTTCAGCGGCGCTTCATATGCGCACCGTGTGAAATGAACGACTTTGGCAACACTTTTTATTGCAGATTTACACTTCGAACTATAAATTAGCGACAGGATACTGAAATGTACAAGTTTACGTGGCAAGTAAAATGGAAATATAAAAGCGTAAAG